ATTTGGTACTTGTCAGTTGTCACCTTTAACTTGTCACTTGACACCTCTCACTTGGCACCTATCATTTGTTACTTGTCACTTGTCACCATTTACTTATCATCTTTCGCTCGTCACCTATCATTTGTCACCACTTACTTATCATCTCTCGTTTGTCACCTGTTACTTGTCACCTAACACTTTTTACCAGTTACTTATCATGTCTCGCTTGTCACCTCTCGTTTGTAAAGTGTTTAATTTTTTACCTGTCACTTGTCACCTGTCATGTCAACTTGTTGTTTTACAGGATGTATCAATGTGATAGCCTACATTCATTAGAAGGAAGCATCTCGAAAGATAATTTTAAACTTTCTGATGTGTTCGTTAATTTAGATTTCTCATATTGAAGTAGTATCTATGCTCTATACTATTATAATAAAGCGTAAACACACACTTCTTTGTTGCCTAAAGTGTCAGCAATTACAACATATTTTCGAACAACTCTTTTTAATAAAAAGCCCCACATTTACGTCACACTTTAGGCTATATATTTTCATGCCGTTAAACTTCGGGGTAAATATTTTGGATAAAAACCCTAATGTCGGAAAGAGACCATTAGTTGTTGCCAACATCAAGGAAGCAAGGTTGTCATCATGTGATGTCATTTTGACATTTGCTATTGATAATTTGACAAATGTTAACGATAAAAATAAACTTTTATAATTTTACGCAGATGAAGTCGCATGGGAACAGCTAATTTTATTATAAAGATCAGTTAACTGTTGCTGTTTTTTAATAGAATGTGCTAACTTATTTATTTGTACAGGTAGAAAAGCTGTCGCCGCAACTTATAGCGGCGGGAAAGATCCGCTTACACTATCCTGACAGCAAGGTAATAAAAAAAAGCTATTTTTCTATGCAATTTTTTAATATAAAGCTCTCTAATAAAGTAATTTCGGTTATAGACAAACAAAACTGTAAATTGACCATAATTTTTTAGGTTAAAGACGAATATAACCCTTAAGTTTTAGGTAGTAAGGTTCAATTTCCCTCAGGTGGCTGAAGAGCATTTCAATAACCTGAAGAACCAGTACGCGGACGCGGTGCTGCGTGTGAGGGACTTGTGCGACCAGGCTGTGGATCCTCTCGACTTCGTGAGGACCGCTGGTAAGTCAAACAATATTCTTTTTTCATCTATACTAAAAAAAAATGTATTTATATATGTATTTGAAATAGCTTAAAAACTACTGGAAAAATTCTTTATCCATTAAGCTACGTTATCAGTAATTTTTTTTATTTCACCCGAGCGAAGTCGTGAGTAATATATGTATGATAAAATGGCAAATATCTAAATTCGCCGTTAAAGCGAAGCGACCTGCCCATATGTATAGATGCGTTACCCTTAATTAATGGAAATACGCACATAAAGAGGATTTTTCTACTTATGTACTAACAACCTTGTTCCAGTATTTATAAATTTTGCCGCAACTTTCAGGTGAATTGATGCAGAAACACACATATCTATGTGAGGACGCGATACGCAACAACGATGCACAGAAGATGGTAGATAATACTTCTGCAATCGCTAGGTAAGAACTCATTTTTACTCCAATTTCAAGAACTATGGTCAGCATAGTAGATCAGTTACTTTCCCATCAAAGTCCCGTTTACATCGGTCCAGCAGTTCCAAAGACAGCGGTTGACCGGCATTTAGACAGTGCGGAATTTAAAAAAAAAATGCCTATAACATGCGACAGACAGATAGACAAAATTGTTTTAAAAGAATTCGTTATCAGCGGCTCAAATACATTATTGTTCAAAATTCTGGATTTTTTTGATATTACATACAGATAGTATATTTATTGTATATTAGTATGATAGATATTGTATTTCGTGTGCAGGTTGGCGAACCGCGTGCTGCTGGTAGGCGGTGCGGAGTGCGACAACACGGAGGACGGGGAGTTCGGGCGCGCGCTGGCGGCGGCGCAGCAGCGGCTGCAGGCCAGCATCGCGCCCGCCGTGCGCCTCGCCAAGCGCGTCGCGCTCAGCGACCGCGCCGCCGTGCCCGCCTGGCGCAGCGCCAACACGGAGGTACATACACGCCTACACACACCTACACAGCGATTACACACGCCTACACACGCGTACACACGCCTACACAGGCCTACACAGCGCCTACACACGCCTACGCAGCGCCTACACGCGCCTGCACACGCCTAGACAGCTCTTAAACGCGCCTACACAGCTCATACACAACGGCTACTCACGCATACACAGCGCCTGCATACGCCTACACACGCCTACACAGCGCATACACAACGGCTACTCACGCATACACAGCGCCTACACACGCCTATATAGCCTACATCTACGTATACGCTAATATACGTACGTAGGCATACCTAGACGTACACACGAACGCAACATATACGTATACACAAATATACGTATGTATGTAAACACACTTACATGGATGTATGTGCATGTACAATCAGGGAATCTGACGGTGTTTTACCGTAAGAGTAATTTCAACGTTTTGTACACAATGAGATATCTCTGAAGTGTAACCAGAACTTTTTTTCGTTATTAGTGCTGTTGTAAAATTTAAATACCATCCTAGTTTTAGTTTATAGCTTTTTTTAGGGACAAAGGTTGATCATTTCGAGTTTCTTTTTCAATCAAGTTTACCCTTCATTTTTTTTATTAAACAGCAAAGGAACATCTGTAACATGTTATATGTATTTTTGCAGATAATGAGTGCAGCGAGCGAGGTGGAGGCCGCACTGTCGCGGCACGCGCCCGCAGACACACTGGCGGCGCTGGGGGCGCTGCGCCTCAGCGACACGCCCCCGCCCCGCCCGCCGCCACCCGCGCCCGCCCCCGCGCCGCACGGCCCCGCCCCGCCGCGCCCCCCGCCCCCAGATACTGACGACGAGGGAGAGGACATATTCCGTCGTCAACCGCATCCCAGCCAACCGATTTTGGTACGTATTACTACAGGAACACGATTCAAATTAAAAGTCTCATCTGTTATGTGATTGTGACCTTTGTAGTATTAGCATTAGGGTTTTCTTTCTTTTATCTATACTAATATTATAAAGAGAAAAGATTTGTAATTTCGGATTTTTGTATGTATTACAATAACTTAACAACTACTGGGTGGATTTTGAAAATTCTTTCACGCTTAGAAAGGTAATTTATGTGAGGCTATACTTTTAATTTCACACGGACGAATTCGCGAGCGACCACTAGTCTTTAAGATGTATCTGATGTAACGCAGGTGGCCGCTCACAACCTGCACCGCGCAGTGCGCGAGTGGTCCTCCAAGGACAATGAGATCATCGCCGCGGCAAAGCGCATGGCCATCCTCATGGCGCGCCTCTCCGACCTCGTGCGCTCCGACTCTAAAGGTACGCACTCATACAAAGCCATACAAATTCATATAAAAACATACAAAGTTTTACAAAGTCATACATATTCATACAAAGTCATACAGAGTCATACAAATTCATACAACGTCATACAAAACCATACAAACAGCTTGTTGACACCAAAGACTTAAGAAATATAGATGAGGCAGTGAACAAAAATGTCTCACCGGTAATTTCTCCGACAGGTAATATAAAACGGGATAATAATTAAAAAATATCCGTGTACTATTAACAGAACTTTCATTCATACATACAAATATATAAATGCAAGCTTTATTTTATTGTTCCTCGTCTCAATTTTTAATTTGTAACACCGACAGATTCCCTGATTGTACACTCTGTTCGATTTAACCTATTGTATCTCTTGTTATATCTGTTTCTGGTTTTATATGAAAAGCTACACATTTATTGCAATTTCTATTGCTTTATGTATAACAAAGCTTTTGTATATATTTTTATTCACCGCTTACGGATAGAAGTGGCTCTCAACCTTATTGGTATGTAACGCTTATAAAATAATACATAAATGATTTATGCTTAATAATGCTTTCTATGAATTGTACATAATATAATTTTTTTTTATAACAAACGGTGGCAAACGAGCAAGCGGCCACCTGAATCTGCCAAAATGGCGAAGCGACCGCTGCCCATAGACATCCGCAATTGCAAATGCGTCGCCTACCCTTATCCGATATTTCCCCTACCTATGTTTCTCCTCCTCTGTCAAATCCACTTTCCCTTCCCATCCTCTCATTATAAGAAAAAGGCGGTAAAGAAAAAGATACTTAAATTAAGCCCCCGGCACCACACTCATCAGACGAAACACGGAATTGCTTCCACTTCACGCCTGTCTTCTGTGTGGTCGTGGTATTACACCGGGCGTGCCGGTTTAACAGTGGTAGTGCCCGCTTTAACATGTTAGCAGTGCAGGGCTCGCCCCCAGTAATACCACGACCACAGACAGCCGTCAAGTGGAAGCAATTCCGTGTACAGTCTGATGAGTGTGGTGCCGGAAGCCTCATTTATGTCCCTTTCTTTTTACCACCCTTTCCTTATGAGAAGATGGGAAGTGGAAGTGGATTTGACAGTGGAGACGCATAGCAAGGGGAAATATCTTTATGTGCGTCTCCTCCTCCGTTGTACAAGGGTAGGCAACACATCTGCAATTGCGGATGTCTATTGGCGGTTTCAGGTGGCCGCTTGCTCGTTTGCCACCTTATGTTATAAAAAAAATTATATGATACCAAATACAAAATCATAATTTTCATACTATAAATAAAAAACTAAGGTAAATATAGAAAAATCGTAAAATATAGTTCTATATATAATCAATACTAATATAATATAAAGAGATTGTATTTTTATATGTATTGAAATAACTCAAAAACTACGCTGATCTTAAAAATTCCTTCACCGTTAGAAAGGTAATTTGTAAGTAAAACTTCACGCATGCGAAGTCGCGACCAACGACTAGTTGATTAATATTAAAAAAAAATTGTAGGTAGTAAGCGTGAATTGATTGCCACCGCGAAGGCGATAGCTGAGGCCTCAGAGGAAGTGACCCGTCTGGCGAAGAAACTGGCCCTCGAGTGTACTGACAAGAGGATCCGTACTGTAAGTTATAACTTAAGACCACCAGACGAAGGGGCACGGAGCCTACCATAAGTTAGTCACTAGACCACTAGACCATTAGACGTTAGTCACTAGACCACTAGACCATTAGACGTTAGTCACTAGACCACTAGACCATTAGACATTAGTCACTAGACCACTAGACCATTAGACATTAGTCACTAGACCACTAGACCATTAGACATTAGTCACTAGACCACTAGACCACTAGACCACTAGATGTCAACTCATGTGTCTGAACACATATCTTTGAATTTCTTTGCATATGTGGGTAGGAATAACGGTGTTTTCCTTCTGAATATGAAATCTGAAAAATCTAAAACATTGGTACGACGATATTCGAACCCAGGACTTGTAGATAGTCAACTTAAACACCTGAGCCACCGACGCTCTTAAGTGTAAGAACGTAATATCGCTTAAAAACAACATAGGAGTGTATCACAACTGCGCTTGATAAAATTCATCTCTACCCTTTTACATTGCATTAATTTAATAATTGTAAAGCTAAATAAGTCCATAAAAGTATAATTAAATTGATATAACAATATTTGACATTTTTGTTAATAAATAAACAAAAAAATGCGATAATCATCTTTAAAATCTCTAGTTTTATCCGACTCGAAGGACCATTATTTCTTCGGTAACAGATAATTCCAATATAATAGCAATTTTGAATATTTTGTTGTATAGAATTTGCTGCAAGTCTGCGAGAGGATCCCTACTATTGGAACTCAGCTCAAGATCCTGTCCACTGTGAAGGCCACCATGCTCGGAGCTCAGGGTACGAACATAACTTATAAAAATAACAGCTCACATTATACTGGACACCTATATGTCTTGTTAGATCTTTTTCTTTAAAATTTCGAAATTGTCTAATAAAATGCCATAAAATCATGTTTAGAATATTCTAAAAGTAATTTTTACTAATATTATAAAAAGCAAAGCGTTGTATTTTTGTATGTATTGAAATAACTCAAAAACTACTGGGTCGATTTAAAAAATGTAATTTATCTATGAGTAACATGAGTTATATTTTTTAATTTAACGCGGGCGAAGTCGCGAGTACAGTTAGTAAATAATATTTTTCTTATCAGGTAGCGAAGAAGACCAAGAGGCGACAGAAATGCTTGTCGGGAACGCTCAGAACCTCATGCAGAGCGTAAGTTCATATATTTATATCTATTTTCTTTATATTTCTATGATAAAAGTTGATAATAATTCTCAATCTATATCCCAAGTAAAACATTTATACTAAAAGATACTTTTTTGGATTATTTTAATATGAAAAAGGTTATATAAGAAAACAGTAATTGATTCTATATTCATGTGTCTTTTATTCATCTTTAAATTACGTTAAAGTAAAGGTTGATTTTAACATTTTAATTTCTTTAACTCAGGTGAAGGAAACTGTAAAGGCGTCAGAGGGCGCCTCCATCAAGATCCGTACCGAACAGGGCGGGTACCGTCTGCGCTGGGTACGCCGCTCCCCGTGGTACCAGATCTAGACTGGATCGTACCAAATCACCGCCACCGTACCAGATTTACACACGATCTTACTAAATCTAGACTCATGTGTACCAGTTCTAGACTGTATCGTACCAATTTTTACCATCTTTGTACCAGATTTACACACGATCTTACTAAATCTAGACTCAATCGTACCAAGTTTTACCACCTTCGTACCACATTTATGAACGATATTACTAAATTTAGACTTAGTTGTACCAGATCTAGACTGGATCGTACCATCATCAATTTGGTACGAAAACTATATACTGCAGATATATTATAAAGTTAAATGTACTTTCATATTTAAAATGAAATAATAAAAGTCCATAAAACCGGTACTAATTTATTTGTATGGAAAATTCTAGAAATATCAAAATTAGTTCGATATTTCTCACAAAAAGTACATAAGTACAAAATACTAGATATAAAATCTTCTAGAAAAGTGAATTTTCTTAGCCAATAATAATTAGAAGTACAGAAAAACCTCTATATCATAATTTAAGGTTGTTTCATTGACAGCTATATACAGTACATAATAAATAATTACTTATTTTATAATAATAAATTGTATTTTTGTATGAAATATGGAAAAAATGTGACACTAACACTTGCTATCTCGTTCTTTTTAATTATCTATGACTCCTACGTAAACTATGAAATATTGTAATGCATAAAATAAACATAAGAGAACATTTAATTCTTATCTTACTAAAAAACAAAAAAATAATAACTATCAAGTTAATTTAAGAATTGCTTGAAGACGAAAATAACCGAATTTTGGTGCGTTTTAAAGAAAAACTCAAATTTACATAGTTTTACTGAAAAAAAGTGTTTATCGTAGATATTCTGCATCAAACATAAAAAAACAATTAAATTTAGAACTTTTTTGAACAAAAAAAATCAGTTAAAAACTCGACTTATAATAGTGTACATAGGAGTCATTGAAATGAAAGAGATAGCACATATAGTGTTACCACTTTGTGTAATTTACGAACATGTTTGTACAAACATTTGGCACAAAAAAAACAAAACGCAATTACAAAAGCGCACGCACACCTTCGACCAAACTATCGCACCACTGTTTGCTTTGATTTCTATGACCTCATATGGAGGTAAACTATTCGTTTTTAGTGCAACTAAACAGTTGTGTCGCGAAAGAGACAATCGCACAACCGTTGTGCGATATTATAGTCAAAATGCGCTCTTATAAATAAGTTTAAAACACATTAATATCGACAATTTCAACAATTTAAAACATTTAACAAGAGATAGCTGCATTTTATTACATTTAGGGCCTGTCCCACTACTGACTGATACTCAGCTTAAAAGTGACGTCACTATTTCCATCACATTTACGTTGGATTGTTATGACAATTTAGAATTTGGTGGAACATTTGGTGGAAATTTAACAGTGGTAGTGCCCGCTTTAACATGTTAGCAGTGCAGGGCTCGCCCCCAGTAATACCACGACCACAGACAGCCGTCAAGTGGAAGCAATTCCGTGTACAGTCTGATGAGTGTGGTGCCGGAGGCCTCATTTAAGTCCCTTTCTCTTTACCACCCTTTTCTTACGAGAGGATGGGAAGGGGAAGTGGATTTGACAGTGGAGACGCATAGCAAGGGGAAATATGCTCTTTATGTGCGTCTCCTCCTCCGTCGGATAAGGGTAGGCAACGCATCTGCAATTGCGGATGTCTGGGCATGTCGCTTTGCCATTTTGGCGGTTTCAGGTGGCCGCTTGCTCGTTTGCCACTTTGTTATAAAAAAACAGGCCCTTAATGTTCCTAGATTTGATACAGCGTGTTCGTAAATTCTTAAAACAACGAATTGTGTGTGATTTTGTAAGCAAGTGCCATTATATGCGTGACGTTAGATTTGTGATATATATATTGCCTTAAAAACATATATATTTAATTTCAAATACACATTTGGTAATTTTTCACAATATATTATATTTTTCTTTTAAATAAATTTAATTAAAAATGTGAAGATAAATGAACCCTTTACGAACAGATATACAGATATATTGTTGTGAGAATTATTTTTATATATCTGTAATGCCTTAATGACTATTTAATTATATTATTCTATATGTTAATTTCTAACCGGTCCCTAAATATAGCATAATAAAAACATCTGTATTTACTCGAAAAATTTTACTGGAATAAAAGAAACTAAACACAAATGCGATTATTCCTTTAGTTTGAATCATAAAATATATTTAACTAGCTCGTGACTTCGCCCGCGTGAAATTAAGAAAAATAATAAAAAATGTAGCCTATGTTATTTAGTGATGACAGCTTTTTAATGGTGCAAGAATTTTTTGAAATCGGTCCAGTAGTTTTTGAGTTATATAAATCCAAAAATATAAATCTTTCCCTCTTTATATTAGTATAGATGTACAGGATGATTCAAAAAACGTATATATAATATTTTTGTATGAGTGAGAATATATAATAAATATATTAGCGATAGTGTGATATCTAACTTAGATAAAAATGTGTAATAAGTAACATGATGTAGCTATTCGTAACTTAGTGCTTGTGTACCCTATTATTTACACTTTTGTTTTTTTATGTAAGTTTTATTTATTCTAATAAACTTTTTTTCTATTTATGTTTTGTTTCATTTTTACTTTTTTATTCCTCGTACTTTTTTTACTTTTTCAAATTAAGCCAATCAAGTTTCTATTCAGCCTAATATGTTTTACAAAATCATAGATGTTTTTATTACAAGAAAAAAACATTTTCAGGAATTTTATAGGTATAGGAAAGATTACTAGTGTATCCGAACTCTGAAACGACATTTTAATATGTATGTATTTTTAATGAGGCCACGCGAAAACTCTAAATTGTATTAAAATGTAAGAAACGTTCACGAAGCGACATGTTACAGATTCGTTTCGGTATTCAAAAAGTCACCAAGAGTTAAGGAGAAATTCAACGTTTTTTTAATCTATGGTAGTTTGTGATGTATCGCACGATAGGCTGATCATTTAGAGCTTTAATAACTAATGCAATAAAAGTAAATAACTTGTAAAAAATATAAATTATTCTTTTATGTAGCTGTTTTATTTACCCTGAAAGAATATTCCCCATTACAGTGCAAACCATAGAACTAAGGAAAAGTTACCTAAAACAAGAATTACTTTTGCAACATATTCTTTCGACACCGGAGAAATTATCTTGAAATAGGTCAATATCTATTACATACTAACATATGAGTAGAAATACAGTAAATATCCAAAACACGATTAAAATAAATTCAAAATCATGAACGAACGAACGCATCAAAATTTAAACTACGTTTAAATAAAGCTTCTTGTCATCTAGTCTAGATTTGAGTAGTTTGAAAAATAACGTATATGAAGTTATTTGTTTGAAGACAGCTACATACCTATGCAGAACAGACATCCTTCCTTAGTAAACTAGAACTTAGGAGGGTCGATAATTTTGTTAAAAGTTTATAAATTATGAGATATGCTAACTTTCGCCCGCGACTCCGTCCGCGTGGAATTAATAAAAAAAGTAGCCTGTGTTCTTCCAGACTATCCTCTACATCTATACCTAATTTCATCGAAATCCATTCAACCGTTAAGGCTACAAACTCTAACAAGCATCCATCCATCTAAACTTTGCCGTTTATAATATTAGTAAGAGTAGCAAGTATAATGTGCCAGATAGAATAAAGGTGCGCTTTTCGCTAGTAACCTGCTTTGGCAATTTAGCAGTGCATTTTTAGCAAATTTTAATAAAAATTTAGCAATGCAATTAATTTTTATGTAATTAATTAATAAGTAAACACGAAAATACTTGTAATAGTGATGAATTTTATCGATAGGTTATTTTGTGTCTGCCTAATTCTTGTAAATAAAAAAACAACAACTAGTAAATCAATTATTTATTTATTCTTACATAATTTTTTTATCTTAATCCAAATTAATTGTTTAAACTTGTCCTGGTGGCGACAACAACTAGTTTCACACCCATTAGGGGTTCTATCTTCAGGGGGAATGTTACTGAGGTTGTTTTGGGGTCGAGTCGCGCGTACTGCGATCTTTTTCACTGGCTGTTTCACTTTAACTCTAAGCTTTATGAAGCAAGTTCCGCTGCAAGGTGAGCCCCTCATGTCTGCAATCTGGGCGAGCAGGAGCTTGAGCTGCATATTGCAGTTAAGTATTCACTGCAGAGAATTCTGAAACAAAATCAAAGATTAATTTAGTTAGTGAGTAAAGAAAAAAAAGTTTTGCCATCTGATACAAATTTTCATAAATGTTTCTTATTTGTTTAACTCTGTATATTTTTTTGGATGGTAATAAAAAGGTTTTTATTATTATTATTTATTATTATAAAAGAAAATTCTATTGAGTGTTGCTGTTATTCAAATTTTATTTTTTACTACATTTTTTATATATTACCAACACACTAAAATCAAAAGCTCACGTATTTTTGTCTAAACTAGTTCAGTAGATTTTTTTAAAGTAGTTGTTCGTCACACTGGACACTATTGAATAAAGGGTTAACAATATTACCCCACCCATGAACACTTCAGTGATGTAGATATTTTCACCTATCAACTAGTAATATTAATAATATGATTCTATGGACTTTAGTTTATTTTAATTTAAGTAAATACTAAAATGTATAATAATGTAAGCTTGTTTGTCGTTTTATAATTTAAGTACTTAGTAAAATTAACTTTTAAAATCGTTTCTAATAATGTTATGCACCTGTTAGCTAATATTGGTTTTGTATTACTTGTTGTCTATTTTTCTATGTAACTGTGTGGTTAAATTAACTGTTGTGTACACTTATATCTTAGTAATATTATAAATTCGAAAGTTTAGATGGATAGATGGATGGATGGATGGATGTGTGTTAGTTTGTAGCCTAAATGTCTGAAACGGATTTCGATAAAATTTGATATAGAAGTGGAAGATAGTCAGGAAGAACACATAGGCTACTCTCTTTTGTTTTTTTTAACTCCATGCAGACAGAGCCACATGGGAAAGCTAGTAAATAAATAAATAGTAGGGATAACCTTTTTTTTAATTCGGGAGAGATCTTCAAAAAGATACCCTACCTGCTGGGGGATTATGCAGCTACAGCATTATGTGAGGTTTGTTGCAGCATCATAGCGACACAGGACCATGCTAATGCATCATCTTCCTAGGACCATTAATGGGAGATCAGGACCCCCACCATAATCACCAATGGCCCCAATAGCCTTTATACTTAACGGTGTTATAGTTTATACTAGCCATGATAGATGTTCCACAGCGTCCCAAAGAGATTCCCCAAACCATTTGCCTCCGTCCAGCCCTCTCACACTCTCGCACTGAGGCCTCCTGCATAATACACTTTCACAAAAGAAGATTAACATCATCCCCTTTTCTTTTTCAGTTAGTGGAGACATAACCGCAGGCAGTATGAGTTTCAGTCCAATCCTCAGAGCCAATACACGCTGCAATAGGGATAACCTAGTTAAGAAGTAATTTTTCTTCAGTCAGTTTTTTTAGTTAAGAAAATAAATGGGGAGTAGTGTTTTGTTATTATTTTGTTTCATTCTATTTCAACTTATATTAGACTTTTCGCTTTTATTGTATACTTAATTTCATTTGTTTTTACCGAATGTAAATGTTTCTACAATAAAGAAAACTTACATCAAGTCAATCTGCACATTATTCTCTTTGCGGTTTGCAAATCAGTCTTTTAGGGTCTACATTTCGGGTCATTGTACACATTGTGGCATGGCTGTAGACCTCTCTGAAATCAAATATACTAGATTAGGTTTGGTTTAAAACTAAATGAACGTATATAGGCAATACTCCAATAGCGACGTCTTACTATATTATGTTCCCTACTGAAGCAAGATTTTTGTTTTAATAAACGTCAACAATAAACAAGCATCGTTAGAAATACCGAAGTCTTGAGTACTTAATCATAGTTAAAGCTCATTTTATAGAAACGTTTCTCGCAAACACTTGTTACATAGTTATTCGTTAGAGAATCCGATTAGGATATTTACAAACGCTTAAACTCTTAGGTAAACAGAAGCCAATGCGATTCACTTTTAATAAAGATTACTTTAACAATTTATTAGGGATGTGTATTGTTAAATCAGGTATGAATCTTGTCGATTTTTACTCTCATAGACTTTAGAATCGATATTCATAGTATCTTATGGATCAAAATAAACACTGTTATTTCCATTAAGTTTATTGAGTTTTTTTTTTTAATCCATTAGTTAAAACTAAAACTATGAATCTAACGATTCCAACTTTTATGAGAGTAAAATTGAAAATCGAAAAGATTCATACCTTATTTTACAATACACATCCCTACTAAATTGTCAAACTAATAGTTCTTTTTAAGACAAATTATAGACAAACTATTATCATGAATATTTTAAGAAATTAGCTTAATGTGTTTTTCTATACACAGTATGTTATAAACTCTGTAAAAACATTGTTTGAATAGAAATATTATGAACATTTTGAAATGGCTTCACAAGATGGCTGGATCAGCGATTGCAGCGCCAAAACGAAACCACTGGAACAATAGCTGTCACTTTGGCTGTCACCCCCCTCACCTGATTCCGTCCGCAGCTGTCGTGCTAAGAGTAGCGCCATGTTGCCTTTCAACTACAAGTTGGATCTCAAATTAATACAACTCGTTAAAGAAAATCCCGCGTTATATGATCCCACCAGTGCTAAATACATGGACAGCAATGCCCGAGAAGTAGCTTGGCAAAAAATCGGAGACGAAGTACAAACATCCGGTGAGTAAGAAGTTTGTTTATATGATACGATTTATTGTAAGCAGTACCAGTGTTGCCAATGAAAATTTTTACCCCGCCGTGTACGTTGTACAAAAAAGTCGTGGTTGTATGCAAAAAAAACTGGGTCGTAACTTAAAAATCGAAATAAACACTAACTAAATGTCGACATTTTATCGATTTTAACATCATTTAAGTTTTCCCTCTTCGTTATAAAAATCACAAAATATTTCAAGCATAAACAAATTATTGAAATTTAATTATTCCCGATACAAATAAATGCTAACCAATGATTATTTTTCGATCAAATGCCATCCAAAAAAATAAATGTTTATTCGTTAACAGTTCCTCTGAATTTTGAAAAGCCGTAGAATCTGCTACAGCTTGATCGTAGATTTTGTAATTTGTAGGCATGAAAGCCTTATACACGGCAATAGCCGTAGATTGGCAACATTGTCCCCTACTATTGTATAAACTCGAATAGTATTCATTAAACTTTTATTGTTCCAAATTATTGTATATTTGTCGATGATGTTACTAATAATATAACTGCGAAAGTTTAGAAGGATGGTGGGACGGTTATTAAAAGGTATCTCCCTAAACTGCTGCTCGGATCTCATTGAAATTTAGCACAGATGTAAAGCATAGTCTAGATAGAATAGGGATGGCAAACAACTGGCACTAACCATAAATAGCACATTTTTTTTTATTTTGGCCACGTCTATAATCATGAAAACACTACGAAAAAATTATGAAATAGGAGCACCGTGGAATTGGCATTATCGTCAAAATTATTCGATGGCACGTCGAAGGCTGCATTAAACATCTTTTAAAAAATGGCACTGAAATGCATAAATGTTCGCCACCCCTGGTCTAGAATAGATTTAGCTACTTGTAAGTTTCTTAAAAGTTCCGCTTCGACAGAGTCGTAAGCAAAAGCTAGTTATTTAATCTTTTTTAATAAAATAAATCTTAACACTAAATATTAAGCAGCGGTTGTTTCTAACAAAATTAAAAATGTCTAATATGCTGTCTCATTGCAGCTGAAAATTGTAAAGCGCGATGGATGCACATAAGACACGTGTTTCGACGAATCCTAAAGAAACCTGTCAGAGCATCAGGACCACCAAAAGTATACAAATATGAGAAGCAACTCGACTTTATTAGACCACTCTTTAAGGATATCCCGCAAATAATTAACTATGATTCCGACACCAAGTCTGAGCAAGTCAACGATCGTTACGATGATGAACCTTGCAGCGAAACTGAGGACACTCCTAATAAGAAGTTAAAAAAGAAGAGAATACCTAAGCCGAGTTCTAAAAAGAAGATTAAAAAATATGAGGAAGAAGAGCAAATGAGTGTGTCACCGACTGAAGTAACTACGCTTGCGTGTGAATTTGAAAGATCAGAACCTTTAGATGCTTTTCTGTTGAGCGTCGGAGCTACGTTGAAAACGTTCTCGCCATATCATTTGAATGTTGCCAAGACTGAAATATTTAACGTCGTTCAAGAACATGATTTGCAACAGATATTGGAGAAAACACGATCTGAAGAATCTATGCCCGAGACATCACAAAAATATTCAGATTATATGCATTAACAAGATTTTAGTAAATGTTATTATTCTATTTATTATTTTGATATTTTGTTAAAGTTAAAGACATGTGCATTCAGTAGTAAAATTTTATTCATAAGTAAAATGTTAAGTTATAGTTATTAATTGTATGTGCGAAATAAAATAAAACGCTATGTACTTTCCTCCTAATATCCGTTCCTCTTTCCCCTTCCCCACAGAGAGTAGACGCGTTATACAATGCTCCGTCAATTAAAAGAACGCGGTAAAAAGTGAACTGCGCAAACTTTGGTAATAAAATACGTAATACTAACTTTCATTATTAGAGACAATAACTTAGTTACATATGTAATGGGAAGTTGCAATTACCTTTTCAAAATTTATCTTTAATATATAAATGCGGGAGTTCAGATGGATAGATGTTTGTTAGAGTTTGTAGCCTAAACGGCTGAACGGATTTCGATGACATTTGGTATAAATGTAGAGAATAATTTGAAAGAACACACAGGACACTCACTTTTGTTTTTTAAGTAGGAATAAATTCTGTTGAGTAATGCACTTTGAAATAAGTACAATTGCGTCATGTAAAAAGAACAAGAACGCTAACGACAAGCACAAGCTGCACATTAGGCGATTTATCGGTCTATTTGGTGGTATGAGGTAGTGTGACGTCACGCGTCCCGGGCCGCTATTGGTTCATTTCACTTTTGTTTCCCGCGCTGTGTTTGACATTACGTTCAGTAGCTAAATACCATCGAGTGCAAAAGTTTTATTACGAAATAGCTTTACATTGACAAGATAGAAAACATATTTAATTGTATACTGTTTCATGAAGAGGGGCTTAATGGAAAGCATTACGGTACCTTAATTTTACTTAACTGTGTTTGTACTTAATTAAATTTTGCAGAATTAATCAAATATTCGTTGTTATTTTTTTATTGACATTCTATTTAATGTTTGTTAACAATTTAATAAATAAAATAAAGGCGTAACGTCGATCGTTTTCGTGCGTGAGGTTACCAATGCGCAAACGCTTTCTCCATTCTTTTTACATGACGCGCCCTATATTGACCATGGATGTTATAAATTATGGAGGAGGTCGTAGATGGAAATACAAGCTAAAAATAATTAAAGATAATATAACTGTTTTAGAAGACAAGGTAGAGGACCTCCAAAGAGGAAATCGAAAAACGTAAATGTATGAATGTGGTATTATTGTACTGAAAATAACTCAAGAATGTAAATAACTTATTAAAAATTCTTGTTAATTTGTTAGGTTAGAAAACATAAGACAAAAAAAGTTATGTGTTAAACATTTAGGTATTTGTATTAACTAAATAAAAAAACTAAAGTCGAATCGCCATTATACACAAAAACTGCACTTTAATATTTGAAATATAATGAACCTGAACTATTAAAAATTAAAATTTACTTACAGATACGTTTATAAAAACTTTAAGGATCAAAAGAGTTAAAACCTTAAAAGTTCAAGTGTTAAAACCATGGCTGACCGTTGGCTTCATCAGCACCAGGCTGGTAACAACAGCTCATTGTACGTCTCCACTAAGGGGCCAGGAGCCTACCCAAAGTAAGGTGTGTCTAGGCCAGTCAACCACGCTAGCCCAATGTGGGTTGACTTCACACATATCTTTGCATTTCTTCGCCGATATGTGCAGGCATAAGTTGTTTTCCTTCACCGTAAAAACGTCGGGTAAATTATTGACCAGAGTATCCAACAGCTGATTCAATGTGACCAGATGCAAATTGAATTAGCTGCTAGTGTAAAGGACTTTCTATTTTTCGTCGACATATCGATCGAAAGTTTTGCTAGTAACATATGTCGTATTTATAAAAACATTTATTAATGATGTCTTCATTATCTAGCATTATTATATTCATTAAAAAGTACATTATAAATACTAAATGCACTGACATTCACTAAAACTGGCCACACTACTAAATTGTTATTGAGTTGTGACGTCACCGACCTCTGATTGGTGTTTGAGATCGAGGATTGGAGGGTAAAAAAATTAACTTTTATTTAAATTGAGATAAACATACCAACATAGCTGGTTAAGGATTATCTTTTAAGTGAAAAAAAAATAAAAGCTTGTTAAAATTAGAAAAAGCGATTTCATTTTTTATTTATATTATTCCTACGTGTGGTTAATCTCGAAAAAGGCATAACAAAGAAAATTCCCATTTTTTTAATTTACAAGGTATTATAAAAATTTAAAGATCTCTAAAACTAGAAAGAGTCCCTAAATATTTTTAGCAACATTTCAGATGGATTTAAAAAAAATCGGTGTGTAAATAATGCAGTTTGTTATTTACAACAATCTTGTTTTCCATGCCTTAGTCATATCTTAATATTAATTTCTTAAAATTCCTTCGCACCTGAAAAATAAAGAATTAAAGATTACAGCTTATTTCTCTAATGGAACTCATTAATCATCAAAAATCTAAAACTATTTTTTACCATTATTTTATTAATTGAAAAAGTTATCTGCCCATAATTGTAAAATGTCTAAGACTACAAGCCAGTTACCTGTGGGGTTGTGGTATTGCACCGGACAAGCCGGCCTATTTCAGCTATGATATTAATACAGGCTCTACCACTGTTGAATTACAATCAAATTTAGATTGAAGACTTGTCAGCATGTCCAATCCTTTAGTGACAATTTACTCAACAATATATAATACAATAATTGATATAAACACAACTTTGATAATGTTAAAGTAATTTTTTTCATTTAATAGTACTTATCAAGCAAACTAAAAGCCCAGTTTAGTTAAAATAATGTGGAGTAACTACTAAATAAATACATACCATGAAGCATTTGGAAGATGTCATGTAGTTACTTATGTCTTTTTCAATAATAATTATGTTCCTATAACATATCAATAATGGTGATAATCAAAAAGTTGTATTTCTAATTACATTTAATTATTTTGAATATTCAGAGAATAATGACTGTCATCTTCATCCAATTTCTATTTCTGTGCATCCAAAGATTATGTGTCCCTGCTGTGTTTTACTTCTTTTGCACCTGAAAACAGAAAAATATTAAATAATTAACTGTTAATTACTAAAACTTCCCTTGGAATAAAACTGCAAAGCGTATTTTTTGTATATTAAATTTAAAATAATATTAATACAATTTTGTTTGGACCTGTGTAAAAAAAAAACATGCAGTGTTTGAATATAACTGCTGATCACTTACTTTATTTTAAAAAGTAAACGTTGAAAGACATCCTTACTGATTTTTTTTAATGATTAAACAATGTTATTTTCATTAATATTGGCAATTTATATCACACACAACAAAAACAATTTCAAAATTACAAGCAACGATTGAAACTGCAGACTGATAAATCGTCGTGACATTTTAGACCGGGCGCACACTACCTACTCGATTTTTAGTTGCGCAACTAAGCCGTTGAATTCGTTGCGAAACAATCGACAATCGCTCACAGTTGTGCGATTGTTTAGTCAAAAGTGTGCTCCACTCTAATAGAAATCGACCGACGACCGACGGGACTGCGACGTTGCCGTCCCGCGCATTCCGTCCGCAGCCGTCGTGCTAAGAGTAGCGCCATGTTGCCTTTCAACTACAAGTTAGATCTCAAATTAATAGAACTCGTTAAAGAAAATCCTGCGTTATACGATCCCAACAGTGCTAAATACTTGGACTGCAATGCTCGAGAAGTCGCTTGGCAAAAAATCGGAGACAAATTACAAAAACCCGGTGAGTAAGACGTTTATACGTTGCGATTTATTGTGTAAGCAGTCCCCTACTATGATACAAACTCGAATAGAACTCATTCTTTAATTGTTGCAAATTATTGTATACTTGTTGATGATGTTACTAATATTATAATTGTCTAAAGTTTCGATGGCTGGATGGATGGATGTTTATTAGAAGGTATCTCCTAAACGGTAGATCTGACCTTGATGAAATTTAGCACAGATGTAATGCATAGCATGCATATTTCTCTAGAAGAAATACATACCCTACTCTAAGTACTTTGTTTCGCTCTTACAGAGTGGCACTCAAAAGCCGGTTGCTTAATATTTTTATTGAATTAATAATTATAAAATATATCTTAATTCTAAAATATTATACAATAATAAAGAAGTTTCTAATACACTGTCTCATTGCAGCCGCGAAGTGTAAAGTTCGATGGAACCATATAAGACTCGTGTTTCGACGCATACTAAAGAAACCTGTCAGCGACTCGGAACCACCAAAAGTTTACAAGTATGAGAAGCAACTTGCCTTTATTAGACCTCTCTTTAAGGATATCACAGCACCAACAATTGACTATGAGTCGGACACAGACGTCAAAGATGACACAGTTAACGATCGTTATGATGACGAATCGCGCAGCGAAATAGAAGATACTCCTCAAAAGAAGATAATAAAGAGAAGAATACCTAAGCCGATTACTAAAGCAAAGATGAAGAGATACGAAGAAGAAAAAATGAGTGTTTCACCGAGTGAAGTAACTACGCCTGCTTGTGATTTTGATAGGTCTGATCCTGTGGATGCATTTCTGTTGAGCGTCGGTGCTACCTTGAAAACGTTTTCGCCATATCATTTGAATATTGCAAAGACTAAAATATTTAACGTCGTACAAGAACATGACTTGCAACAGATCTGGGAGAAAACACGCTCTGATGAATCTGTTCCCGAGACACCTCAAAAATATTTAGATTACACGCATTAACTCTAAGATTTTAGTAATGCGAATATTATTGCATTTTACTATTTTGATACTTTGTTGAACTTAGACGTAAGTGTATTTAGTAGTCAAATTTTATTTATAAGTTAAACGTTAAGTAATAGATGTTGATTAAGAAACATGGATTGTATATGCGATATTAATTAAAACCTAATGTACTTTTATGTCTGGCAGATACTTTACTACTTATGTTTGTTATACACAATTTAGTCTATCAGTTCTCGCATTTTAGAGTTATTTAAATAAAAAACAGGGTTTTTTATTTTGATCCATAACGTACGAGAATGAATCTGGATTTCAACTTCAGTGTGAGTAAAAATCAAAAAATTTGTTTACTATTTTTTATCCCTACTAAATTGTTAAACTAATCATCCTTATTTAGACAAACTACAGACATACGGAACAGCACTTTTCGTCGTAAGTAAGAAAGAAACGCTTACGAAGCGACGTGTTACAGATTCGTTTCAGTATTCGGCCACAAGTCACCAAGAGCTAAGCGTGAATTCAGTGGTAGTTTGTAATTTATCGCACGATAGGCTGATTATTTATAGGTCTAATTAATTATCTACAACAAATATGAACAGTTGTTAATAAATATAAATTATTCTTTTATATTGTGATTTTACTTCCCCTAAAAGAGTTTTGTGCACTGTAGGTAAGACAAGAATTTAGTTTGCGACTTATCTTTTCGACACTAGTAAAATTAAACTAAAATAGGTTCTGACCACTTTTACATACTAACGTATTAGTACAAATACAATACCATAAATATAAATCACAAATAAAATAAATTCGAAGTCATAAGCAATGATACAAACTGCAGACTATTAAAGCGTCGTGACATCTAAAAGATCGATCGACGACGGACGCGACTGCGACGTTGCCGTCCTGCGCATTCCGTCCGCAGCCGTCGTGGTAAGAGTAACACAATGTTCTTCAACTACAAGTTAGATCTCAAATTAATAGAACTCGTTAAAGAAAATCCTGCGTTATACGATCCAAACAGTGCCGAATACATGGACAGCAATGCTCGAGAAGTCGCTTGGCAAAAAATCGGAGACGAACTACAAAAACCTGGTGAGTAAGACATTTATATGATCCCCTACTATGGTACAAACTCGAAGATTGTTAATTTAAATTTTGGGTCTGCAAATTTTTATATATCAACTTTCGCCCGAGACTCCGTCCGCGTGGAATTAAAAAAAACAAAAGTAAGTCGCCTTCCAGATTATGATCCACATCTATGCCAAATTTCATCCAGATCCGTTCAGCCGTTAAGGCTACAAACTCTAACAAACATCCATCTAAACATTCGGTTTTTTTAATATCAGTATGAATATGATTTGTCGATGATGTTACTAATATGTATTATTACTGCAAAAGTTTCGTTGGCTGGATTATATATTAAACAGTGATTGTTTCTATCAAATTTAAAACAGTTTCTAATACACTGTCTCATTGCAGCCGCAAAGTGTAAAGTGCGATGGATCCACATAAGAGACGTATTTCGACGCATACTAAAGAAAACTGTTGGCGACTCGGAACCACAAAAAGTTTACAAGTATGAAAAGCAACTCGACTTCATTAGGCCTCTCTTTAAGGATATCACAGCACCAATAATTGACTATGAGTCAGACACAGACGCCAAAAATGAGCAAATTAACGATAGTTACGATGATGATTCTCGCAGCGAAATAGAAGACATTCCTAATAAAAAATTAGAAAAGAAAAAAATACCTAAGTCGAGTTCTAAAACAAAGATGAAAAGATACGAGGAAGAAGAACAAATGAGTTTGTCTCCGAGTGAAGTAACTACGTCTGCTTATGACTTTGATAAGTCAGATCCTCTGGATGCATTTCTGTTGAACGTCGCAGCTACGTTGAAGACGTTTTCGCCATATCATTTGAATGTTGCCAAGACTGAAATATTTAATGTCGTGCAAGAACATGATTTGCAGCAGATTTTGGAGAAAACACGCTTCGAAGAATCTATTCTAGATACATCTCAAAAATATTTAGATTACACGCATTAACTGTTAGATTTTAGTAATGCAAATAGTCTTGCATTTAATATATTGATACTTTGTAAAACTTAAAAATTTTAGTATATTCAGTAGCCATATTTTATCAATAAGTAAAATGTTAAGTAATACATTTGATAAAGAAACATTTATTACATGGGCAAAATCAAATAGAACCTAATATACTTTTATTTCTAACACATACTTACTGCTTATGTTTGTCGCACAGTTCAGTCAAACAGTTCTCGCATGTCTGAGTTATTTCTAAATAATCAACTTTTAACAATGCTTCGAACTCGAAAGTGAAAATGGTGCGACTTGACACATGGTAAGGACAAATTTATCTGACGAATCATTAGCGGTGAAGGACACGCACTGTTAAAACATTGAAACTTAACTTAAGAGGAGCCTTTAGTAGAGATCAAATATACTTAACTGTCTTTACTTTTGTCGAAGGTTATTTTGCTATTTATTTAGATCAGGCGTTTCTTAAACTCATTGTGTTATGTCGATGTGTGAAATAATCTGGATACCCATGACATGAAATTTTACTTACTGTAAGTCTACGTATTTTGAATGTAAGTAAAAATTTTCATTACATACATTGTTTTAATTCCACAAAATTGAAATGTAAATGATAAAATTATAATTATTTGATACAAAATCCAAAATATATTTGAATCGACACTTTCTAATTTAGTAAATGGTATGTACATACATTTAACAATAGCGTTGTTAAATTTTAAAATTCATGTGTGAAACACAAGTTCCAACATATGCAAATGTTTTAATTTACTCATGTATTGTTCTTTGTACATTATATTATACGGTTGCTGACTTGGAATAACGAAATACAATTCAATTCGGTTCTATACAAACTATAAAACTAAGCAACTGATTTTAGATAAGGTAATTTAAAATCAACCTTTTAAAATATAATTCAGACGTTAATGTTTGGCATACTTATAAAAAGCCAACACAAAGATAATTTCGTTTCGTTTGATAATAATATCACAAGGAGTTGCGACGTGTCGTGACCCGTTACGGCGTCGTCGGGTCGCTATCGCTCGTCGTGTTCCCCTCGCACTCGCCTCGTGCTCCGCTCGCTCCCGCTCTCGCAGCGTGATATTGCGTCTTGCACAATATAGAGTACGTTTACATGGCAGTATCACTAGGTGAATTTAGTTCTTGGACTAATTTAAAAAAAATATATTGCAATATTTAGTTATAGTATAAACAAATTGCTGTGTAGAAAGATTTAAATCAAGCTAACAGATTTTTGTACGTTAAAGATATTGTTGATTTTTAATATCAGTAATTATATAGATTAAGATATAAACGTTTTATCTTATCCTAAATATTGATTGTAAAAAGTAAAATTTTATCATAGAAATGAAAAATCCATAAAGTATCTTTATTATTGATGAATATATGTCTTTTAAATAGTAAAGTCATTCTGACCCTGTTAAGAAAACAGCATACTTAATTATTGATAGCATTATTTGTAAACTTAGCAATTAATTTAGTTAACAAGATTGTGGCAGTGATACAGCCGTGGAGACACGCGGTCGCGTCGTGTGACGGCGACGTTGCCGCTCCGCGCACGACGCCGCGCCGCTGCGCCGCCGGCCAGTGCCGCGCGACGCGTCCGGTGCGACATCGCTCTCTTGCACTTTAAATTGTGTCCTAAATAAATCACATTGCGACATCTTTGCCTTTTAACTCTTTTAATCATGCCTCTACCGTTTAATAAAACTTTAGATTTAAAATTAATAGAGCTAGTGAAGGAAAATAACATTCTCTACAATTCGAAACATGCTAAATACTTGGATTTCGATGCGAGAGAAGTCATCTGGCAGAAAATCGGAGATGCGCTCGGCAGGCCTGGTGAGTTACGACCTTATGACCTTTAATAAACATTCTGTAACAAGTTATTATATTGTATTCTTTATTGCAATTGAAATAAAAGCTATTTTATGATGTACATTTTAAGATGCGATTCACCTAATTCCAATTCATGCATACGATTTTCATTGTTCCTTTTAAACTAATGGCAAGAAAATTTAACGTTAAATCAAAATGGAGCACAAGAAAATTATCTTATAATTGAAAAAATACCATTTACGTATTACTTTTTATTCCAGCTTTGGTATGCAAATCTCGTTGGATTAACATGAGGGATATGATGCGTCGTAAAGTCCGAGAACGTCTCCGCAACCCGAACCAGCGCGTATACAACTACAAATACGAAGATGAACTATCATTCATGTTGGCTTACTTCAAAGAGTGTAACAATACTACCGAAGACTACGCAAGCTTTATGGAAACCACCGCAGAAGACTGCGATATAGAAATGCCGGCGGAAGTATTCGTTGATGGTGCAGATTTTGAAACTAATGATAGAGAAATGAAGCCAAATTTAACAATAATGAAAAGAAAAGAACAAGATAATCATGAAATATACCAAGATTTGAATCCTGCGGATCCTTTAGATGTTTTTTTAATAACAATCGGTACGACTTTAAGGAAATTCAGTCCTTATTACTTAAATCAGGCGAAGAGTAAGATTTTTCAAGTGGTTCAGGATTACGAGCTGCAGCAGATTGTAAATAAAGAAGACCAGCCTTTAGATAATAATAGATAGGGATTATCTTTAGGTATAAAATCAAACTTACAGCAAACTTGATTGGCTAGTTATAGGCGTCGCGGATTTCTTTTAAGATTTTTTGCCAGACCAGATAAATCTTGTACTATTCAACTAATGCCAATGTGTTGAGAAATTTTCGATTATTCGAAATCAATACTTTTAATGTATACATGTATACTCTAATTATACGTAATAATGTTAAAGTTTTTTTAGTTTAAGTATGTGATTTAAAAAGTGCAATGATTTTTTTTGGTTATGTGACTTATGTTTTAAATAATTCATAAGAATGATAAATGAAATATGAAACATTTGTCCTAATTTGTAGGAATTTTTTTAATATTTTTTATTACTATGTAAGTAAATATAGATAGATCTATATTTTAGAATAAAGAGTTAAATATTTTTACAATTTTATTTGTGTCTTCCACAACTACTATTTAAAAATTACTATATTTTTATTTCGCAAAATGAACTAAGAGTGCACGAGCATACAACGCCATCTATTGGTGTGATATTGAAACGTGGTAATAGATGGCGCTGACAACAATTATAAACATTTTTCATTAAAGTAAAAGCATAATTATATTAAATAATAACATTTTTTTGTAATGAAATTAATTGTAAAATTATAATTTAAGTTGCAAAAATACTATGAATGAATATTTAACAACGTACCGGCCGGCACAAACGCTATAGACGTAATTTGAATTAAAAAAAAAAACAATGTTTTAGGCGCGAATAAGATAAGTAAGCAATATAACCACAATTTTATGTAAACTAACAAATGCGATTTTACTTATGTATGTAAATAGTGTGTGTTTATCAGGAAATAAAGAAGATTTTCCCAGTGGTACTTATTTACATTTATAATATCGCCTGTATAGTCTGGTTGAACCCAAGTATAGCTAATGTAATATTTGCAACTAGCTTGCCAGCGTGCTAGTTACTAACGCGAGATTTGATTTGCTGACACATTATACTGGAATGATCAAGTGGACTGGCATGTAAGCTACTGTTCCATTTTAATGGAGTGTGTTCAAAAATAAATAGATTTTATCAAACTACGAGCTAATTGTACATTTTCTTGCATCAAATAAACTAATGATTTTTTTATTTATAGTCGCTTAAAAAAATATTTGATACATTTGTTTTATGTATTAAAATACTCCAATTAGCAAAAGCTTGGTAAATCAATGCGTAATAACTAAGGAAAACGTATTGAGGAAAAATTGATTCCAGAAATAACTTGTGGTAATGACGCATTTAATAAAAGGATGTATGATAGCCAATTTTGGTAAATACAACCGTTTTGAAATATCAATGGTAACAATTTGAAATACCCAGAAACAATAGAATAATCTGGAAACAAACAATCAAACTTTTATATAGTTGCAACTAGATGGCGTTGTTTTCAAACTTTTTTATCAGGTTAAATCTTAATTTAGTTATGGAATACTATCTTTTACCCGCGACTCCACCCGCGAATTAAAAAAAAAACAAAAGTGAGTTGCCAATGTGTTCTTCTAGATTATGTTTAATGTTCCATGTTCTAGATAATCTATTCTATACAATTTATAAAGAGGATAGATTTGGATTTTTGTATGTATTGAAATAACTCAAAAACTTCTGGGTCAATTTTAAACATTCTTTTACCATTAAAAAGCTACCTTATCAGTGAGTAACATAGGTTGTGTTTTTAATTTTTTTTTTAATATTTGAAAAGTTTTCATGTAACGTAACAATGGAAGGTACCATTTTAAAGCCGGCAACTCATTTGCAGTCTGCAGTTCATGGTGTTGCTGATGTTATTGGGCATCGACTACTGCTCTTTAGTCCCCTTGTCTTATGAAAAATATAAAAAAAAATCCTATAAAAATATTATTTTTATTATAAAACTGAACAGGCAATTCCAAAACTATACAACTGGTTTTTATCTTTAAGAAATTTCCCATTCACGTAACTTCGTCGTAACTTCGAATGACTCAGAAATACGTTCACGAGACGGTCACCTTTAGCAAAACAAACATCAAAACACGACGCATAATTTTAAAAGCCATTAACTTGTAAAGGACATCAAATTGTGACTTATAAACTGACTGGCTCTCGCCCGTGACTTCGTCCGCGTGGAATTAAAAAAACAAAAGGAAGTAGCCTATGTGTTCTTCCAGACTATCTTCTATGTCTTTTATTTTTATAATATAAGGTGGCAAACTAGCAAGCGGCTAACTGAATCCACCTAAATGGAAAGCGACCGCTACCTATAAACATCCGCAATTGCAGATGCGTTGCCTACCCTTCATTGTCAGAGGAAGAGATGCACATTAAGAGGACATTTCCCCTTCCTATGCATCTCCTCCACCGCCAAATCCACTTTTCCTTCCCATCCTTTCCTCTCAAGAAAAGGGTGGAAAGGAAAATGGGCTAAAATTAGGCTAGATCTATGCCAAATTTCATGGAGATCCGTTCAGCAAATACAAACTCTAACAAACATCCATCTAAACTTTCGCATTTATAATATTAGTAAGATTACTAGGTAAATCTCACTAACTAACTAAAACTCAAGGTTACATCAGCACAGTAGCGTTTTTTATTAATCCATAATAAAACTTTCATTGTAACATTAGGTCCAAAGTGAAGACAATTGGTTCTATGTTTTAGTAACTTCGACGTCAAGTCCTTGTTTGAATATATTGTTTTGATAGTTAATGGAAACAATACGAGGTTTATGTGAAGCAGATAGATCACAGTCTGGCCGAATGCACCTCCATACAAGGTGATCTCTTAATAAACAGGAAAAAATTCACGCAATATTTTATTTGTGACTAATTATATGATGTCAATCAGGGTGACCATAAGTTTATTTTATTTATTGCACGGATAAGTTTATGGATATGTGCATATGCTGGAGAAAGAACGGTAAGAAATTGCTGTTAGAATCCTTGATATGTATTATTTTTATAGGACAGTAATGTTACCACGTTTACCAGATTTTGTAAAAACCTCCTGATGTTATTTAAGGTAGGCAAAGATATTTCAAATGAGGTAAGCAGTTTAAACTAATCAGAAATTAGATTAAATGAACGCTACAAATGTAGAGAAAGAACGAAGAAAGCATAGTTGGATTGTACAAACACATGTCTAAGGGAGTGACTTCAAATATGGTTGATAGAGATGTATGAAAGAATACATTGACCCTCCGTAAAGAAAAGGTAAGTAGATTTTGAAAATCAGGAATGTCTCAAATATTCAATAAATCATGGTGTTTGTAAGGAATCCGCTCAGGAGCAGGATAAGCGTGCGTTCGCACGGGCAGACTTTGTACGCCGCGGTAAAGTTCAAGGTCAGCAGACTTTTTACGCCCACGAGATAGGTGTTCGTA